CCTGACTAGTCTTTCCTAATTATCTCTCTCTCAGACGAAGCACTTGGTTTCTACTTAGCATGACAAAATAGATCTTTATAACTAAAAAACTGCTTCATTTCTGGGCAACAACAACAGGAAATTGCTTTTTATGAAGCAGCACAAACACGAGGAGCTGATGAGAATAGATGTACCTGCATAATTAAAGATGGAGAATTGATGCATTCCACAACAAGAATACTGCCTGACCTCACTTTTGGTATAGGGGATCCTCATAGCTCCTCTTCAGCCCTTCTTTCTAAAGTCTTTTTAAAGGCGAATTCTTCTCATTTTTCAAATTTCTGCATTATTTAGATAATAAGATGTAAACAAAGTCATTCAGAATGGTTTGATGTGAAATGATGCATTGTCAGACTTTTTTCAAATCTTCAAAATGACCAGTAAAACCTACACGTCTTCTGAGTTTTATGCATAACGTTAACGATTTTAAAATAGTGCTAAATCTGAAATAATGTTTTCTTTCTCCTACAGCGCCCTGCATGTGTCTGCGCACCCTGAGTGGATTAAAAAAAAACACTGCTATAGAATAATTTCTCAGGAATCAGGCAGCAAACTCATAACCATCTCTGTGAGGGAGATTTTAGAGGAACGACTGTTTCCTGTCATCATCACTGAGAACAGTTCCACTCGGAATGACTTTGTTTACAACCGAGAAATTCAATTATGCAGAAATTATGTAAAGATTAACCCCTTCCTTTTTAGACTGCATACCAAATGGCCCCATATCTGACTATGAGATACCACGTTTTCAGCAATGTGCTTATCTTGAGATGACAAGCAACCTGTACTGCTTTCAAATCATCGCACTAATAGACTCCTCTTATCTCTGTCTCACTAAGTATTGTCCATGATTTGAAAGTTGATCCTCAACTTTTAGCTTTAGAAATGATAGAAAATACACAAAACTTGTTTTTTTTCCTAGGTTGAAACCTTCGAGGCCTTTATTTCCAAAGGAAAAGAAGTTCATTTGCAAGCTTCAGCCACATAATGATCATCTCCTATTCAGCTTGATGTGCTTCACCAGTAAGGTCTCTAGAGCCCCGTGATTGAAGTAGACTGTGTGCTGTACCTCTTATGGATGAGTGTGTTTAAGCATGTGTGCATATATGTGCATACATAGATCTACACAGGACTTACAGAAGTAGCTGAAAGGCACCCTTGCTATGACCCGAGTGCTGTGCTGCTGATTTTAGTCCAGAACACATGACGAGTGAATTAGTCACACTTATTTTACACCTGACCCAGTTCAGATTCTTCTTCAGTTCAGGTTCACACTGAGAAGCCGCTCATTAAAAAGCCATGGATGGGCACAGGAAAACATGCCAAGACTGTGACCAGTGTGGAAATACAACGGCCCCATGAAGGCTTACTGTGGTTTTCAGGGATTAAGGCTGGACGAAATGTCATATTGCAATGCTGTAGGATCCTGAGGAAGACTCATCTCTCTAGAGTGCTATTCGGATGGGGTTGGTTTTACATGGGAAGGTGAGGTAATGTCATTTTATCACAGGACGTCTAGAATGTTTACGCCCAGAAATGGAAGTGGCTGCTTGATTTACACACTTAGACACATTTACTCCAAAGAACATGTGAAAGCATTTGATTCAGTCGTTATTCAGTTTACCATAACCATCTGTTTCACTGCGAATGCACTGTGTCACTGGCATTTTTATGAGCTTGGGAAATCACAGCCAACAGCCAACATCACAGCATAAAATAAAAAAAAATTCTGTAATTTTACATGTTTCAGTGTTCTGGCTTGTTCACCCGAGGAGGTCAGTACATATCAGCTTAACTTTAGCCCAAAGAACACGAGTAAACGATTTCGCTTTTACTGACATGTTGATTTGCATGGGATTAGTATAACCTAAGGGTATTTCTACTGCTTATTTTGTAGAAAGTAAAAAGTGCCAGAATGTTTACTGAAGCAGGAGTGCACAGTCATGATGCATTAAAACGGGTCTAAACTTATTGATGAATGCCGGTGCGTTATCCCTCCTTCCCTTGTAAAACAAATCCCTTCTAAACAGGGATTTGGTTAATATTGCTATATCCATGAAACCATCAGTACAGGCTACCTCGTAGTGTCTAAAGTAAAATTTTGAAGAGAAGACAAATTCGAGAATAAACTGGTTTTGCAAGTTGTTCAGTGTAGACATACATAGACCTGCATGTTTAAGAACTGATAAAATGTGTTTGGAAGCCAATTCAAAGCAAACAAAAAAGGATTCTGGAAACTATGGTTACATTAATCGCACCAGGGAAATCATGTAGTCACTTGATGTAAAAGCAGCAGGTTGTCATGTCTAATAAGGATGGGGTTTTAGCGACAGAAGCCGTCCCTTCAGATGACCTAATGAAAAAGCTAACACTGGAGCTAGTCATAGCAATGTTAGATGTGGATGCTGAGGAGGATTCGTCTTTCACACAACGTCTTTCAAAAAACGATGCTAAGAATTGCGTGTGTACGAGTACAATCATATTTACCTTTGCACACAGTGGGGCCTCATTCACCAGTGTCATCCTGTGTTTTTCATTGAATAAATATGCTCTTGAGAAAGGTCCTAAGAAAAAGTCAATGCCAGTCTGATTCATTAATCCTCTACCGCACGCATTATGAGAGTAATGGTCCTTGATTTATTTTTTCAGACCTGATTATTAAATTAAAAAATGTGTGCAGGGGTCCGTGTTGCATTGATTCAACATTGTGCAACAATGAGAAGAAATGATATAGAGGCAGAAGTGGTGAGACCTGGCTTGTGACTGGCTAAATCAATTCCTCTGTCGCACAGTGTTGCAAACATATTTTTGCAAATTCACTGAACAAAAAATGAAACTAAATTAAAAAAAAAGATGTTTAAATGTGCCCAATAAGAGATAGTATTACCAAGTACCTGCTGTTTATTGACTTGCTCAAACTCTTTCCTTTATTGGTAATCCTGTCGTTGTCTGTAAATATGTGTAATGTTATTGTAAAGTGAGGAAAATGAGTTTGATGCCCTGAGGCAACATTGTGCAATAGAGGGTTAAGCTAACTGTCACAGACACTTTCCTGCGACATTATTTTTCGTTAAATGACTTGCAGCAAATACAGTAATCAATGTGTGAAATACCCCCCTGTATTTGGGGATCCCATGTTGACTGGCTTCTCAAGCGTTGGCTGGCGGCTAACTCACTTATCATACCATCACTGACTCTAGCTTTAAACGCAAGAAAATGTTTGGTTTAACAGTTCTTCTTTTGGAAATACTCTTGTCTAGTTTAGTAATGTGCTCTTCCACACTGTAATGAAGATCTTACACATGAGTGTTTAATTTATTGAATTTATTGTGTTGTTTCTAGTTTAATTTTTTGTTTGCACACTCATGTCTGCACGTGTGCACTTTGTACTCTTTTGTTCCATGTTGCACCGTGTTGTTCCTGGAGGGACGTAATTTCACTCCACTGTGTACTTGAGATATAGATGGAATGACAATAAAAGCCTCTTGACTCTTGACTCTTCTTTGGTCTTAAGTTTGAGAAATGAGCGAAAAATTCCACCAAACTCTTGGGAAACTAGGCTAGTTTTCATATTTACAAATATGCTACAGGATATTGTAAAGTTTTTCAGAAGTATCTTGGGCATAGTTACAGTTGCTAGGCTATGAAGCACCAACAAGAGAACCAGTTTGCTACGGCGCCACCATGAGGCAGACCAGTGCTGCATCTCTAGTTAGTTAAGAATATCAAAAACAGAAGGTCACTGATTTTGGGTGAAGCAGACTAAATGATGACCTTTCCCTGAATTTATATTTGAGTGTCTGTTTTTCTCAAACTGACAGCATAACATCATAATATGTTTATTTTCCGAGAACCCCCCGCCTCCGAATTTGATTTTGAGACATTCAGGTTAATTAGGGGGTCCTATTTCGCACCTTGACCGTAATCCAGATCAAATTTAGCTGACCTTGGGGCCAGCATAATTCTGCTTGTTAATAGTTTTGACGTTAAGCTGTGAGCGAGGTCTTCCACAGAGTTCAGCTCAAAACTTCAAGCTTTGAGAATGAATAAAAACACTTTTCTCCAGATGATCAGAATAGCATGTGTCATTTACTGCCAGCACTGTTCTCACTGCAGGTTTGTTACAGTGACGTTTGAGACGATTGTGATTGGCTGAGAGACGTGTCAATCATAATTTTGCGAACGGTCAGTTATTTCCACTGTGATATGTAGTGTATAAAAACACAGCGGGGAACCTTTGATATGACATGCATTTGAATCATGTGAAAGCATCCACAGGAACTCCGGAACATCTGAGGTTGAAATGGTCATAGCTCAAAATTAAGAGTCTATAATTAGACTTAGAGTTAGAGGAAACGTGCATATTGATTTCAATATCAATATATCAGTATATCAGGCCAGTATCACTGTATTGATTAACAAACAATATACTGTGCAACCCTATCAGGCTTGGTTACTTTGTTCTTTGGTTGCTGGAGCAGATCACTGACATTGTCTTAGTATCATGTCACAGTTTGAAGGTCAGACGACTGGACCTCCTGACCTTCCTGATCCTAGTGATGTTTATTCTGCATAATGCTAAATTCAGGCTGTACCATTCTTTAAAATCCATAAAGTTGACTGACTTGGACTGAAGCTTTGCGTCCATAGCCGTCGTCATAATGTGACATCGTGGTAATAGTGAAGGTAATTTGCCGTCCCCTGAGCCTTCACCATGCTCCTCCATGCTGATTGAACTGAACATCTGCACTGATGAAGAGAAAAGAACACCTCGACTTCTTTGACACACGTGATCCGCCTCAGTGGGACCGTGACGTTTTTCTGCTTTGTTTCCCCTCTGAACCTAATCCTACCATGACGCCCAGGGAGAACCCCACTCCTCATCTTCTCCTGTGTTTGATTTGTTTGTTTGTTTATTCATGCGTGGCCTGTTTTTTGTTTGTGTTGTGTCTGTGGTCCAGGTGGAATCGCGGGACACTCTGAACAGCATAGCGCTGAAGTTTGACACCACCCCCAACGAGCTGGTTCAGCTCAACAAGCTCTTCTCCAGAGCCGTGGTCCCCGGCCAGGTGTGCTCCTCTCCTCTCCTCTCCTCTCCACTCCTCTCCTCTTCCATTTTCTCATCTCCTGACCTCTCATCCCACCTCATTTCTTCTTTCCTTATGTCTCATCTCCTCCTCTCCTCCCTTCACATCGTTTCTGCTTTCCTCCTCTCCTCTCTTTGCGTCCCCTCTTATCTTTCTTTACTCCTCTCCTTTCCTTTCTTTATGTCTCCTCTCTTCATCTCTCCTCTTCATATCTCCTCTCCCCTTTTCTCTTCTCTTAATGTCTCCTCCCCTCATCTCTCCCGCTTCTCTCTCTTCTTCATATCTCCTCTTCTCGTCTCTCTTCTTCTCTTTCCTCTTCATAGCTCCTCTCCACATCTCACTTCTCTTCTCTTCTCTTCTCTTCTCTTCTCGTTTTCTCTTCTCCTTTCCCTTCTCCTCTTCATATCCTCTCCTTCTCTTCTCTTCTCTTCTCTTCTCTTGTTTTCTCTTCTCCTTCCCCTCTCCTCTTCATATCCTCTCCTTCTCTTCTCTTCTCTTCTCTTCTCTTCTCTTCTCCCCTCTCCTCCTCTTCTCTTCTCTTCTCTTGTTTTCTCTTCTCCTTTCCCTTCTCCTCTTCATATCCTCTCCTTCTCTTCTCTTCTCTTCTCTTCTCTTCTCTTCTCTTCTCTCCTCTTCTTCTCTTCTCTTCTCTTCTGTTTTCTCATCTCCTTTCCACTCTCCTCTTCCTCTCCCTCTCTTCTGTTCTCTTCTCTTCTGTTCTCTTCTCTTCTCGTCTCTTCTGTTTTCTCATCTCCTTTCCCCTCTCCTCTTCCTATTGCCTCCTTCTCTTCTCTTCCCCTCCCTTCTCTTCTCTTCCCTTCTCTTCTCTTCTCTTCTACATTTTTCTGCTGTCTTCTTTTCTCCTCCCTATGATTGTGCTCTTCTCTTCTCTTCTCTTCTGTTTTCTCATCTCCTTTCCCCTCTCCTCTTCCTGTTGCCTCCTTCTCTTCTCTTCTCTTCTCTTCTCTTCTCTTCTGTTCTCTTCTCTTCTCTTCTCCATTTTTCTGCTGTCCTCTTTTTTCTCCTCCCTATGATTGTGCTCATGTTTTCCTCTCTTTTTCTCTCTCCTCCCTCTATCTCGTACAGTCCTCCCTCGCTCTTTTCCCTTCAGTCCTCCTGCTTCTTCTTATTGAGACCTTGTCGTTAGTTGTAGCTTCTCAGTAGCTCCTCTTTCTAGGCAGTAATATATTCTGGATCTACAGTACTAAAAACTACAGCTCTCTGCTTTTTGAAGTGAGGCAGATTTGTAAACATAAATGACTAAATATATTGCATCCTATATCCGTGAATACATTGTATTCTATATCTGAAATATAGCCAGCTCTCCTTTGCTGAGTTGAGTGGTTATTGTTTGGCTTTTGTATGAGATTTTTCTAATATGTAATATCACAGCATCAGCCAGGAACAGGCGCATTCCTCTCCACTTAGTTCACCAGTAAAACTGCAATAGACATTTCACATTTTATAGAATTATATACAACTCGAAACAAGACTAGGCTGTAAGAAATGACCCAACCAGTGGTTACATTTTTCAGCGAAATATTCTTATAATTACATTATGAAGTGCTCTTGCTGTACCACACAGTATGAAAGAGATCTCCAGTAGCTACAGCTTCACAGCAGTGGCTAACAGGTTGAGGCAGGAAAGACTTGGATCTGTTCCCCAGCCCTTCATGTGACCAACTAAAGCTAATCCTTTAGCATAATCCTCCCATTCAGGTTACTGGTGAGAAAAGTAAGGCTTGACTGAACTGAGAATTATGATAACTGATAATATCAGACAATATAGTTTTGTAGTGACTGGTATAATTTTTAAATATAAAAATTGTATTTAAATATAGAACAGGCTACTTCTTAATATCCTTATAATGTAAGCTTAAAACAGGTAAATAACATGATCTCTCACAGTGTTAAACTCCTAATAGTTCTCTTTGCTTTGGGTTGTTTGTTTGATGTTCATAATAACATGCTGCTGTTTCCTCCCTGGTCCTGCGTGTGTAAAGTTGTGTTGTGTTTGCAGGTTCTGTATGTTCCTGACCCCGAGTATGTGTCCAGTGTGGGCAGCTCCCCCTCCCTCAGCCCCATCAGCCCCCTGTCCCCCACCTCCTCAGAGGCCGACCTAGAGAAGGTGACGGTACGTGAAGCTTCGCTCGGACCTCCACAGCTTTACACGCGATCTTTTGAGACTCGAGATAGACACACATACAGAGCGCACAATATACACGTATACATACATGTAGTACTGATCAAAAGCTCAGAAACACCAACTCAAGACGGGTTTTTCATCATTTTTACAGCTTAGAATGATTGTGAGATTGTAAAACTGTGAAATAACCAGTGGGGAATCGTGACTGTTAGAGCTAGATTCCATGTTTTATTTGAGGTTTGTTACAGACATTAACATGTAGTTTACTTTGTAGCAGTTTTATAGTGACTCTTTCAGTATAGAGCCCTGACTTATTCTCACGTTTCACTTGGCGTCACACTGTATAGTCACCACCATTTTGAGGACTGAATCAGCAAACGACTCCGCTAGTGTGATATGCTTGGTGAATGATTTACCTGCAAGACATGACAGAAGATGAGAAAGATGATCTTTAATTCAGTGTTTCAGACTCCAGGCTTGGAGCCTCTGCACTGTATAGTTCAGTGTTTCTCTCTGCTGTTCACCTCGTTCAGCTCAAGAAGGGATTAATTAGCTAATAATATCAGGTATTTTAACCAGGAAACCACAGTTATGCAGTGCAGGGGTTTCAGGACTGGAGCTGAACTCTGAACTAACTGCACTAGCAAACTTACAGAATCACGTCTGTTGAAACACAACGTCGTTTTCAGACCCACGACACTCAGTCTGATATTTAATGCTTATGTTTCTCCATTCAAACCTCATTTAAATCAGAAACAGAGAGTAAAGTTATACCGGCTGTCTGCAGCTCCGTTAGGGGGACGACTGTTCATCTCTCGGCTGTTAACATCAGCTAAAGTTATCTAAAGGCCAGCATTGATCACATCTGTGTTAATTAGCTGATGTCGTTACCCTCCTATGATGACAGAGTGTTTCTCCTCTTTATGCAACACCATAGGATCCTTTACCCTTTATCCTTTAAATGTCAGGAAAACACAAATTTGGTAACTTTTTCGCCAGTTTAAGTGGGACCAGGAGTTCAGGGGGAAGCTGTATAAGGACTATTTTATCGACTTTGTCGAGGAACGTTTTTCTCTTCCAAAGTAAGCTGAGTAATTTTAGCCATAGTTTACCTCTAGTTATGTTCGTGTGGAGCAGCGAAGCCAGAAATTCGGTTCCAAATATGGCGACCACAACAGAAAATCACGTGACTGAAACCCTAGGATGGCTGAAACATAGTTAGACTACAGTCAGTGATGTATCTATGACTTCGACTGATGATTTTTCTCACGAAATTGTTCCCACCATTGTAAATCAAAACATGATTGATTCCTCTGTCACTTCCTAATTATGTTGGCAGTTAATCTGACATGTAAGGCATTCAGTTCAGCTCTTGAAGTCCTGACCAATGGGGGAGGTAGCTTAGCTGTGTCTTCTTGGATACTACAGGAAAAATAATCATGTTTGGACAATTTTCTGCTGGACGTTTTAAGATTTGAACCAAAACTTAATAACGAAGTAGGATTATTACCTCCAGAGTTTGAATACAACAAGCATGATAACACTGTGAAATGAGCTAAGAAATTAGTGTGCATTTTATTTACTAGAAATCATTAAGACTTCTCTGAAGGCCTAGAAAGGCCCTCAGGGTTCGCCTCTGGATATAACACATATAATTATGCAGTGACAAAAAAAATTATTTTCAAATCAAAATTCATAACTTTAAAAGTTTTAGAAGTAAATTCATACAAAGATGTTCACTATTTAACCATTTGTGTTTAAACTTCTGATACTGTACACACAGATGAACACACACAGACAGATGCACAGTTTAGAGAGGATAACCTTTGTTTTGTGTGTCGTATGTTCATGTAAGAATCATAGCCTGGCCTACACAACTCACTAGTGAGGATGAGTGGAGGAGCTATTCATACATGCATGTGATTCCCCCAGTCTAGCTGTGTTTTCCACTGTGAGACTGTGGTTCTGCATTTCAACGTCACATTAAGGCTTAATTCAGTTGCACTGCGTACTCGTGCCTCAGGAAAACATGAACAGACAATGCAAAGCGCTTGCATTCCACAGCAATGTGGCGAGCTGGCATTGTGCTTTGTTTCCTCTCAGCTGATCGGTAGCTGCAAAATGCCACGCATGCAAAATACCTTTCAGTTACACTGCTGAGGTTGTCAAGTTTGAAATACAGAGAAGGCACTGTGCATTTAGGCACTTGGCAGTAGAATATCACAGCTGTCGGAAGAAAACTTTGTATCTCCAAAATGGTAACTTTACAGGAGAAGGAAAAAACATACTTTACTTTTAATGTAAGTCAATGGAACCAGACTTTTTTCCTAGTCATTTTGGGTCAGTTCTTTTAATCCATTTATGATGAAATTTACATATACTATAAAGGGTAACAGGTATTTTCAAATTATGTTAAATATAAAAAACATCAAAAACGGAGATGCAAGGTTTTCTTCCAACAACAGTGATATGTTATTTTATCATGATGAATTCATTCACAAAATCATATGGCTGTCATCAGCACTTCTAGAGCAATGAACACTGGCATCTATCATAAAACAGACCAATTACACAGAGACTTTACACAGCGTAGTTGTTACTGCATAGTAAGATGTAGCTTATTATGCTGTTTGTCTTATTTTACTAATTTATTTTATCAATGCTTTGAGTTTTCCTGTTGTTCCTTCTTAAAACATTCATTTTTATAATGAAATAAAAAAACATATTTTTAATATTTTTTCATCTTTTTGAATGTGGTACTGCCGTTTTGTGGGTGTATTTAGTCCCACTTTATACTGTGTCTCTAATAACTGTGTAGTTACACATGAATAACATATGCACTGTAACTACTGATAATTTAGTCAGTGTTACAGATGGATTACAGATGTACAGCCTATGTAATAACACGTGTATCAACTTCAGTTTTGCCTCTTGTAATTACACAAATATATCTTTTTGATACACTACAGATCAGAAGTCTTTTCCAGCAGTTAAAGGAAGTGTGTTTTACATAACATTACATTTATGTTTTACATAATTACTGGAATAACTGTGTTATAACAAGTTAATGTAATCACATCACATTGATTAATAACATTCTGTAATTATACTGTACCTATATAACAACTACACAGGAACGTTCCTGTAGTGCAGTGTTAAAGTTACACTTTAGAATAAGTGGACAGTTCCTGTGTAGTTGTTATGTAGGTACTGTGTAATAATGCAGTGGTAATATAGACATTGCTTTGGAGGTAATGTAACACATTTAATTAATGTCATAACAGTTACATGTTAAGATAAGGGGACGTCTGCTGTTCTGTCACATTACAGAATGGTTTAAAGCTGAAACTGGTTACAGGGTCTCAGCACTGGCATCATAAACGCTAGTTAAATGTTAGGAAAGCTGGCAGATACAGTGTCAGTAATGTCTTAATGTAAGTTATTACATCCTTCCTTTTACTGCTGGAAAAAAAAGCTTCTGAAAGAAACTACTGTTCCAGTCTGATTACAGACGTAATTGCATTTGTGTTATTACCCTTGTGTAATTACATGAGAGAGAAAAGGCTGTTACAACTATTAAGATACACTTGTGTAATTACATGAGGCAAAACAAGTTGATACACGTGTAATTGTATAAGGTGTACTTCTGTAATCCATCTGTAACAGTGACTAAATCATTAGTAGGTACAGTGTTGTTGCATATGTTGCTGACATGTAACAACACAGTTATTAGAGACAATATAAAGTGAGACTGTGCATTTTGTCTGTTCTAACGTTTTCACAAACTTTTCATAAAACAAAATATTGTGATAGTGGGCCTTTTCACAAAGAGTCACGATTACATCCGGTGAAATTCACTTCCGCTCCGTATAACTACTGCAGAAACGATGACAAAATATTGTAGTAGTGAACCATAATGCTCAAATACTGAGCTACAGCAGCTGTATGTTAGTTTTCCTGCTCTGTTGTGACAAACAGCGAGAATAAGAAGTGGATGGAAGGACTGATTTAATTGTAAACAGAGCTGAGATGCTGTATGTGTGGGATAGCCTTGTTTTTACTGCAGCTGCTTCACATCAAGCTGTCTCTGTGTCTTTGTACAACATGTCAGCGATTTCTGTAATATTTCTGTTTTAAAAAGAAAGAAGAGCTTTAATATGTAGTATGAATTTGAGAGTTTATATTAAGCTAGCTACACTGGCTAGAAGCCATTGCTAACAGTAGCTATTATCCCAAACTGGATTACCCGGCTAACATAAAGCAGCTTTCTGCATCACCAGCTAATTTTGTACTCATCTTTAACCTTTTCAACTCCTTGAGACCACCGGTGGTTCCAAAACGCACTTCATCATATTCTTCATAGCTTTCATATTTCATAAGCTACGTTCAAAAGGTGGGGGTCATATGAGAGCTGTAACTGTCTTCTTTCCAGTCAAATAGATGGATGATGTAATTTTAAACTTTATAATAAAAGAAGATTAACTTACATTTTTTTTTGTCTACTGATCTGCTCTGTACAAATTATTTTTATAAAATAATACAAAGAGCGGCTAAGATTTTTGGCTTTCAGCAGTAAATTGTAAGCATATAGCAATATGTATGATCATAAAACACGTTCTGTTAATGTGAGGGGAACTTCTACACAAAATAAATAAAATAAAAATGTACATTTATTTCATGCAGTTACTGAATAATTTGCCTTACAATTTGGTCAAGTAAGTTCAGATGGACAAACCACAATATACCCTGGAGAATAAGAGGTTAAAAAGCTAATGCTACAGGCAATAAACTGTCAACAAAATAATTAATTATATATAATTCTTATATGATCAGCTTTGTACAAACAGCTAACTTTAGCCAGCGTATTATGTCAGAGACCTTACAGAGCTTTTCCTAGGTCACAAACAACTAGATGGCTGTGTCAGAAAATGGAAATCAGAATGTCACAGCATAACCGCGATGCTAAGATACAGGTTAGGCAGGAGTCG